CGCCCGAAGCTTCGCCCCCGCACCCGCGGGCAGTCTGCACAGTTTGGTGCCGGCGCGGACCCTCCCTCGCAGCACCTCTTCCCTCCCCCCTCGCTCGGTTTTTTCGACGCGGCCCGCACGACTACCCTTCGCTCACGCCTCCTTTCCTACGGTTTCCGACGCCCAGCCCCGTGGATGCCTCTTCCCTCACCCCTCGCTCTTGCGGTCCTGTCCCTCCCGCGCTGCTTCATTTTTGCGCCCCCGCCCCTCCTCGTCAGTCCTGTCCTTTTCCTTCCCTGGCACACCCGACGACGGGGCCCTGCCACAGTTTCTCGTGGGCCCGCGTCGATGTCGGTGGGACCGCTGTATCCTTTAAAGGGTATAGGGATTTTATTGTTAGTATACTATTATTCTGAAATAATAATATAATAAGCTAGGGAGATATTCCCGGCGCCCAGGCCCTGATGTCACGCCCGGTTTGGCCCGGGCAGCCCCTGCAAAAAAAAAAAAAAAAAAAAAAAAAAAAATCCCTCCAAAAAAATCTGAGAAAAAAATACGTTGTGTAGAATTGCAATACAAACAACTTTTGGCTGAGGGTCACATCAGAATTCCTCACGGAACTGAAGATAAACGAAGTTAAAAATAAAAAATAAAAAAAAATCACATCAAGGCACCCCCCTTCGAACCCCTTTAGCCCCTTCAAAATTCATTTATACTCGGAAAGCGCGGAAAAACCCAGCCGCCAATTTTTAATTTTTAATTTTTTCCCTCATGCCCACGTATCTCGGGAGTCAGACCGCCCCGGGCATCACACCCAGGTGACCGGCCGGTCCAGACCCTCAGCGGTCATCCCCCATCAACCCTTGCTAAGGGCTGGTCCTGCTAGATGCACTTCCACCAACGCCTCTATCCTACACATGTGACACACCTCTCACAGTGGTTCCGACACATGCTGCGATGGTCCCTGCGTCATCCACTTCCTTCTTTGCCCTCGCGAAGCTCTTGTCCTGCCCTTGCTTGCTCATCTGCTGCCGCTGCAGTTTCTACAGTTGCGGTTTCAACTGCTGTAGTCTCACTGCCGCTGCAGTTTCTGCGGTTGCGGTCTCAGCTGCTGTAGTCTCCACTACTACAATCCGTTGCTGCAGTTTCCTCTCCTTCTGTTTTTCACTGCAGCAGTTTCTACCGTTGCTAGACTTTCTTCTGCTGCAGCTTTCATGGCAGCAGTTTCCACAGATGAAGTTCCCCATACTGTATTTTGTGCTGCTACGGCTTCCTCTACCACAGTTACAGTACAAAGAATATCAGTCTCTCCGACACTCATGTCCTCTATTTCGAACTCCTGCCCAATCAA